AGGGGCCAGAGACAGTCAATATGGGACATTCTACAATATGTTGTTCTAGTCAATGAATATTTTCACTTTCACAAAGTTGACAAATGGTGTATTCGACACTTTCACAGAGGTCACATGTGGTGTATTCGACACTTTCACATAGGTCACATGTGGTGTATTCGACACTTTCACAGAGGTCACATGTGGTGTATTCGACACTTTCACAGAGGTCACATGTGGTGTATTCACCAAAATAGCTTTGAGAGACCTGCCATATACGTCTGACTTCCGGCCATCAAAACTGTCCACTTTGTTGTGGCGAGTTTTTGCCTGATTAAACCGGTATATAAATGTGTTCTAGTGGTACCGACCAAGTGGTCAAGTGGTCCAGCCTCCTGGTCTTTGTCAACCTGTTCGGTCAGTAAGATTTTCATCGGATATTTGTTTCAACATTATTTTTGTTATTGCTAATACAACAACTACATTAATTTATTATGTTGGTCTGCTACTGGCTGTTTTTGCAAGTATGTCAACAGTATTTTATTTTAAAATGTCGACAAGCAATGGTATCCAGAGGAATTTATTCCCAATTTTTTTTCCGTAGCAGCTAAAACATTCATTCTAATATCACTATTTTACCGGGAGATACTGGTGTATGGGTTGAGTGCAAGGACGGCACTCTGCCAGTCACAGTGTATAATTACACAGCTTTTGTCTGTTGCACATTGAGTGGCAGGGTACATGTCTGCACTTTGGGCGTGAGACGTCTTGGCCCAGTCACTGGCCAGGCACTTCACTGCTGTGTCACAGAGAGAGGATGTTGTATAAATATGTTACCTCCACACTCGCTACATCGTCCACCTACAGGACGGTCGGTGTAGCACTGATACACCTTGTTACCCTGGGTGTTCTCAGTGGTGCTGCACAGTGTTAACTGCTGTAATAACACTAAACACAGAAATCACAATAGCGTGATGCCTCAAATGAACAAATGCTCAAGCTACGACCATGTCGTAGCTCAGTCGGCAGCGTCTGGAATGCTTTCGGACGCAGGTTCGAATCCTCGTCACGACCCTTGTGGACTTGCTGTAATAACACACTATCTTTCTTGGGAATATTTATGAGTTCTTCCGAAATACCTCCCAGTTATCCCATGAATTAATTTAAAATTAATGTCTTAATAATACCACAATATACTGTGGTGTAGTGGTGAGGTGTTCTAGTGGACTGTGGTGTAGTGGTGAGGTGTTCTAGTGGACTGTGGCGTAGTGGTGAGGTGTTCTAGTGGACTGTGGCGTAGTGGTGAGGTGTTCTAGTGGACTGTGGTGTAGTGGTGTGGTGTTCTAGTGGACTGTGGTGTAGTGGTGAGGTGTTCTAGTGGACTGTGGCGTAGTGGTGAGGTGTTCTAGTGGACTGTGGTGTAGTGGTGTGGTGTTCTAGTGGACTGTGGTGTAGTGGTGTGGTGTTCTAGTGGACTGTGGTGTAGTGGTGTGGTGTTCTAGTGGACTGTGGTGTGGTGTTCTAGTGGACTGTGGTGTAGTGGTGTGGTGTTCTAGTGGACTGTGGTGTAGTGGTGAGGTGTTCTAGTGGACTGTGGTGTAGTGGTGTGGTGTTCTAGTGGACTGTGGCGTAGTGGTGAGGTGTTCTAGTGGACTGTGGTGTAGTGGTGTGGTGTTCTAGTGGACTGTGGTGTAGTGGTGTGGTGTTCTAGTGGACTGTGGTGTAGTGGTGAGGTGTTCTAGTGGACTGTGGTGTAATGGTGTGGTGTTCTAGTGGACTGTGGTGTAGTGGTGAGGTGTTCTAGTGGACTGTGGTGTAGTGGTGAGGTGTTCTAGTGGACTGTGGTGTAGTGGTGAGGTGTTCTAGTGGACTGTGGTGTAGTGGTGTGGTGTTCTAGTGGACTGTGGTGTAGTGGTGTGGTGTTCTAGTGGACTGTGGTGTAGTGGTGAGGTGTTCTAGTGGACTGTGGTGTAGTGGTGTGGTGTTCTAGTGGACTGTGGTGTAGTGGTGAGGTGTTCTAGTGGACTGTGGTGTAGTGGTGTGGTGTTCTAGTGGACTGTGGTGTAGTGGTGAGGTGTTCTAGTGGACTGTGGTGTAGTGGTGTGGTGTTCTAGTGGACTGTGGTGTAGTGGTGAGGTGTTCTAGTGGACTGTGGTGTAGTGGTGTGGTGTTCTAGTGGACTGTGGTGTAGTGGTGTGGTGTTCTAGTGGACTGTGGTGTAGTGGTGAGGTGTTCTAGTGGACTGTGGTGTAGTGGTGTGGTGTTCTAGTGGACTGTGGTGTAGTGGTATGGTGTTCTAGTGGACTGTGGTGTAGTGTTTGATTAGGCTGTTTCTAAAGATTTCCGACTCTCCTCCCAGACTGCAGCAAAGGAAGTTGAACATTGCAAGGCGAGTCCCAATCCACATTAGACACCAAAACATTCCATATTTTATTTTCCAGGGTTTCTCTCCATTATATAATCATGTTTGCCACTCAATATACGAGTCTGAGTGTCCGTATTGCACAGTGTTGAGTATTGAGTGTCCGTATTGCACAGTGTTGAGTATTGAGTATCCGTATTGCACAGTGTTGAGTATTGAGTGTCCGTATTGCACAGTGTTGAGTATTGAGTGTCCGTATTGCACAGTGTTGAGTATTGAGTGTCCGTATTGCACAGTGTTGGGTATTGAGTGTCCGTATTGCACAGTGTTGGGTATTGAGTGTCCGTATTGCACAGTGTTGAGTATTGAGTGTCCGTATTGCACAGTGTTGAGTATTGAGTGTCCGTATTGCACAGTGCTGAGTATTGAGTGTCCGTATTGCACAGTGTTGAGTATTGAGTGTAAGTATTGCACAGTGTTGAGTATTGAGTGTAAGTATTGCACAGTGTTGAGTATTGAGTGTCCGTATTGCACAGTGTTGAGTATTGAGTGTCCGTATAGCACAGTGTTGAGTATTGAGTGTCCGTATTGCACAGTGCTGAGTATTGAGTGTCCGTATTGCACAGTGTTGAGTATTGAGTGTAAGTATTGCACAGTGTTGAGTATTGAGTGTAAGTATTGCACAGTGCTGGGTATTGAGTGTAAGTATTGTATGACGAGAGATCAGTCTTGTCATACACATATTTGATCAGTTTGTGTACTTTATCGTCATTAGTACTGTCTCCCTCTCTCATATGTCATTGTAATCTTAAGTGTATATTGACACGTGATTGACTGGAGCTGTGACTCCTTGTGTCTTATTACTGCCATGTGGGTAGGAGGCAGTGAGGGGAGGGTGAGGTAAGTGAGGGGAGGGTGAGGTAAGTGAGGGGAGGGTGAGGTAAGTGAGGGGGACGGTGAGGTAAGTGAGGGGAGGGTGAGGTAAGTGAGGGGAGGGGTGAGGTAAGTGAAGGGGAGGAGGAGGTAAGTGAGGGGAGGGTGAGGTAAGTGAGGGGGAGGGTGAGGTAAGTGAGGGGAGGGGTGAGGTAAGTGAGGGGAGGGTGAGGTAAGTGAGGGGGAGGGTGAAGTAAGTGAGGGGAGGGGTGAGGAAAGTGAGGGGAGGGTGAGGTAAGTGAGGGGAGGGTGAGGTAAGTGAGGGGGAGGGGGAGGTAAGTGAGGGGGGAGGATGAGGTGAGGGGAGGGTGAGGTAAGTGAGGGGAGGGTGAGGTAAGTGAGGGGGAGGGGGAGGTAAGTGAAGGGAGGGTGAGGTAAGTGAGGGGGAGGGGGAGGTAAGTGAGGAGGGAGGGTGAGGTAAGTGAGGGGGGAGGGTGAGGTAAGAGAGGGGAGGGTGAGGAAAGTGAGGGGGAGGGTGAGGTAAGTGAGGGGGGAGGATGAGGTGAGGGGAGGGTGAGGTAAGTGAGGGGAGGGTGAGGTAAGTGAGGGGGAGGTAAGTGAGGGGAGGGTGAGGTAAGTGAGGGGGACGGTGAGGTAAGTGAGGGGCAGGGTAAGGTAAGTGAGGGGAGGGGTGAGGTAAGTGAGGGGGAGGAGGAGGTAAGTGAGGGGAGGGTGAGGTAAGTGAGGGGGAGGGTGAGGTAAGTGAGGGGAGGGGAAGGTAAGTGAGGGGAGGGTGAGGTAAGTGAGAGGGGAGGATGAGGTAAGTGAGGGGGAGGATGAGGGAAGTGAGGGGGAGGGTGAGGTAAGTGAGGGGGAGGGTGAGGTAAGTGAGGGGGAGGGTGAGGTAAGTGAGGGGGAGGGTGAGGTAAGTGAGGGGAGGGGTGAGGTAAGTGAGGGGGAGGGTGAGGTAAGTGAGGGGGAGGGTGAGGTAAGTGAGGGGAGGGTGAGGTAAGTGAGGGGGGAGGGTGAGGTAAGTGAGGGGGTAGGGTGAGGTAAGTGAGGGGAGGGTGAGGTAAGTGAGGGGAGGGTGAGGTAAGTGAGGGGAGGGTGAGGTAAGTGAGGGGGAGGGGGAGGTAAGTGAGGGGGAGGGGGAGGTAAGTGAGAGGGAGGGTGAGGTAAGTGAGGGGGAAGGGTGAGGTAAGTGAGGGGGAGGGTGAGGTAAGTGAGGGGAGGGGTGAGGTAAGTGAGGGGAGGGTGAAGTAAGTGAGGGGAAGGGTGAGGTAAGTGAGGGGAGGGGTGAGGTAAGTGAGGGGAGGGTGAGGTAAGTGAGGGGAGGGTGAGGTAAATGAGGGGGAGGGTGAGGTAAGTGAGGGGGTAGGATGAGGTGAGGGGAGGGTGAGGTAAGTGAGACCATCTTCCCTAGACACCATCTCCCCTAGAGACCATCTTCCCCAGAGACCATCTCCCCTAGAGACCATCTCCCCCAGAGACCATCTCCCCAGAGACAATCTTCCCCATACACCATCTACCCCAGAGAAAACCTTCCCCAGAGACAATCTTCCCCGAGACAATCTTCCCCGAGACAATCTTCCCCAGAGAATATCTCCCCCAGAGACAATCTCCCCCACAGACAATCTTCCCCACAGACCATCTCCCCAGAGACCATCTCCCCCTGAGACCATCTCCCCTGAGACCATCTCCCCCAGAGACCATCTCCCCCAGTGACCATCTCCCCCAGAGACCATCTCAGCCTGAGATTATCTTCCCTAGAGACCATCTTCCCCAGAGACCATCTTCCCCAGAGAATCTCTCCCCCAAAGACAATCTTCCTTATTGATCATCTCCCCAGAGACAATCGTCCCCAGAGACAATCTTCCCCAGAGACTATCTCCCCCAGAGACAATCTTCCCCACAGACCATCTCCCCCAGAGACTATCTCTCCCAGAGACCATCTTCCCCAGAGACAATCTTCCCCGAGGCAATCTTCCCCAGAGACCATCTCCCCCAGAGATCATCTCCCCCAGAGACAATCTTCCCCATAGACCATCTCCCCCAGAGACCATGTCCCCCAGAGATCATCTTCCCCAGAGACAATCTTCCCCAGAGACCATCTCCCCCAGAGACCATCTCCCCCAGACACCATTTTCCCCAGAGACCATCTTCCCCAGAGACCATCTCTCCCAGAGATCATCTCCCCCAGAGACAATCTTCCCCATAGACCATCTCCTCCAGAGACCATGTCCCCCAGGGACCATCTTCCCCAGAGACAATCTTCCCCAGAGACCATCTTCCCCAGAGACCATCTCCAGAGACCATCTTCCCCAGAGACCATCTCCCTCAGAGACTATATTCCCCCAGAGACCATCTTCCCCAGAGACCATCTCCCCCAGAGACCATCTTCCCCAGAGACCATCTCCCTCAGAGACTATATTCCCCCAGAGACCATCTTCCCCAGAGACCATCTCCCCCAGAGACCATCTCCCCCAGAGACCATCTCCCCCAGACACCATTTTCCCAGAGACCATCTTCCCCAGAGACCATCTCTTCCAGAGATCATCTCCCCCAGAGACAATCTTCCCCATAGACCATCTCCCCCAGAGACCATGTCCCCCAGAGATCATCTTTCCCAGAGACAATCTTCCCCAGAGACAATCTTCCCCAGAGACCATCTCCCCCAGAGACCATCTCCCCCAGAGACCATCTTCCCCAGAGACCATCTTCCCCAGAGACCATCTCCCCCAGAGACCATCTTCCCCAGAGACAATCTTCTGCAGAGACCATCTTCCCCAGAGAGCATCTTCCCCAGAGACCATCTCCCCCAGAGATCACCTCCCCCAGAGACAATCTTCCCCATAGACCATCTCCTCCAGAGACCATGTCCCCCAGAGACCATCTTCCCCAGAGACAATCTTCCCCAGAGACCATCTTCCCCAGAGACCATCTCCTCCAGAGACCATCTTCCCCAGAGACCATCTCCCCCAGAGACTATATTCCCCAGAGACCATCTTCCCCAGAGACCATCTCCCCCAGAGACCATCTTCCCCAGAGACCATCTCCCTCAGAGACTATATTCCCCCAGAGACCATCTTCCCCAGAGACCATCTCCCCCAGAGACCATCTTCCCCAGAGAGCATCTTCATCAGAGACCATCTCCGCCAGAGACAATATTCCCCAGAGACCATCTTCATCAGAGACCATCTTCCCCAGAGACCATCTTCCCCAGAGACCATCTCCCCCAAAGACCATCTCAGCCAGAGACTATCTTCCCCAGAGACCATTTCCCCCAGAGACCATCTTCCCCAGAGACCATCTCCCCCAGAGACCATCTTTCCTAGAGACCATCACAGCCATAGAATATCTTCCCCAGAGACCATCTCCCCCAGGGACCATCTTCCCCAGAGACCATCACAGCCATAGAATATCTTCCCCAGAGACCATCTCCCCCAGGGACCATCTTCCCCAGAGACCATCTCCCCCAGAGACCATCACAGCCATAGAATATCTTCCCCAGAGACCATCTCCCCCAGGGACCATCTTTCCCAGAGACCATCTCCCCCAGAGACCATCTTCCTTAGAGACCTTCTCAGCCAGAGACTATCTTCCCCAGAGACCATCTCACCCAGAGACCATCTCAGCCAGAGACTATCTTCCCCAGAGACCATCTCCCCCAGGGACCATCTTCCCCAGAGACCATCTCCCCCAGAGACCATCTTCCTTAGAGACCTTCTCAGCCAGAGACTATCTTCCCCAGAGACCATCTCACCCAGAGACCATCTCAGCCAGAGATTATCTTCCCCAGAGACCAACACATGAGTACCTCAAATATCCTCATAAATATTCTTCGGTCCCATCCTCCTACCCCCCCTCCCCTTCCCCAACAATGTATACCAGTGAATTATGTACACCATACACACCCTCTGGCAGTGTGACAAATGTACACCATACACACCCTCTGGCAGTGTGACAAATGTACACCATACACACCCTCTGGCAGTGTGACAAGACCGAGTGCGCTCGTAGTAAATGATTATTTACACCACTTATGTGACTCCTGGGTGTACCTCAGCTGGCAGTTCTACACCCTGCTCTAGTACATGTGACTCCTGGGTGTACCTCAGCTGGCAGTTCTACACCCTGCTCTAGTACATGTGACTCCTGGGTGTACCTCAGCTGGCAGTACTACACCCTGCTCTAGTACATATGACCCCCTGGGTGTACCTCAGCTGGCAGTTCTACACCCTGCTCTAGTACATGTGACTCCTGAGTGTACCTCAGCTGGTGGTACTACACCCTGCTCTAGTACATGTGACTCCTGGGTGTACCCCAGCTTATGGTACTACACCCTGCTCTAGTACATGTGACTCCTGGGTGTACCTTAGCTGGCGGTACTACACCCTGCTCTAGTACATGTGACTCCTGGGTGTACCTCAGCTGGCGGTACTACACCCTGCTCTAGTACATGTGACTCCTGGGTGTACCTCAGCTGGTGGTACTACACCCTGCTCTAGTACATGTGACTCCTGGGTGTACCTCAGCTGGCAGTACTATACCCTGCTCTAGTACATGTGACTCCTGGGTGTACCTCAGCTGATGGTACTACACCCTGCTCTAGTACATGTGACTCCTGGGTGTACCTCAGCTGGCAGTACTATACCCTGCTCTAGTACATGTGACTCCTGGGTGTACCTCAGCTGGCAGTACTACACCCTGCTCTAGTACATATGACCCCCTGGGTGTACCTCAGCTGGCAGTTCTACACCCTGCTCTAGTACATGTGACTCCTGAGTGTACCTCAGCTGGCAGTTCTACACCCTGCTCTAGTACATGTGACTCCTGGGTGTACCTCAGCTGGCAGTACTACACCCTGCTCTAGTACATGTGACTCCTGAGTGTACCTCAGCTGGTGGTACTATACCCTGCTCTAGTACATGTGACTCCTGGGTGTATCTCAGCTGGCAGTTCTACACCTTGGTCTAGTACATGTGACTCCTGGGTGTACCTCAGCTGGCAGTACTATACCCTGCTCTAGTACATGTGACTCCTGGGTGTACCTCAGCTGGCAGTACTACACCCTGCTCTAGTACATATGACCCCCTGGGTGTACCTCAGCTGGCAGTTCTACACCCTGCTCTAGTACATGTGACTCCTGGGTGTACCTCAGCTGGTGGTACTACACCCTGCTCTAGTATATGTGACTCCTGGGTGTACCTCAGTTGACGGTACTACACCCTGCTCTAGTATATGTGACCCCTGAATGTGAATGTTTCTTCTAGGTATCACAGCGGCCATGGGCGCCAGCGACTACTTCCCCTCGCGCTCGACCGTCAGCATCCCTGGTGAGTGTCAGCACCTTCCTTACCCTCAGTGTCCCCTCTTTGTTGTTTCTCATATATATTGTAGTCGAGTTTGTCAGTCACCATGCTTCTCTGTACACGAATTGATGTTTAACCTACACGTGTGTTATGGGCTGCTGGAGTCAGTCACCGGGTTCTTTCTTCGTAATGTGCCTTAGAGCCTCTTTTTCTTCTGTCATCCCACCCCAAGTCAATGGTAAGTTCTCAAGAATTGGTGGTAGTAAGTAATAGTGCAAGGAATAAAGGGGTGATAAACAAGACTCAATTACACCTTCACCACTATATTATCTATCGAAGTATAAGTACATTTATGTGCACAGTGTCGCTTTCACACAGGACTCTCAATGTATCTGCAGTGTTCTTCAAATTCCTGCGAGTTCAAATCACTGTGAGGCCACTATCTTCAAGTATACGTCGACCACGCTCAGTGGTAATCACCGGCGAATTCACCTTCAACATGGGCCAGTCCACACACCGTATCGTCGCAATGTCCCAACACCTCCCATCTGCTCTCCAGAAACACACCGGCAGAGTACTTCAGCAACACACTGACAGGGTTCCCTGGCAAAAGTCTCTAGCAACATGCTAGCAGACTTCTCAGCAGACGGCCACTACTGCCATCTGATAACTGCTCTTAGCTAAATCCCGGGTACGTTGGTCCACACAACATTGTATAAGTACAACAGCCAACATACTGCTTACTACCGACGGCAGCCACTTGTCCTCACAGGATCAAGTAAGGAGCTCAGGACTGCCCGAGGTGAACTGATTTCCATAGCGCAATAAACTCATCACGTCACCTCTTTGAACATAAAAGTCATTAGCCAGACAGAAAGTATACAGGGAGAACATAGGATGGCAACCTTTCAACGGGAAACTGTGAAAAATAATAGGATGCATAATCTAGATGGCGTTGATAACGTTACTTCACTCACCAGAGTATGACGATCATCGACCTCACCTCCTAACTGAGGTCTGAAACAGGAGCCTTTCACTGCCGCTACTCCACCGCCAATAGATGGCATTATCTGCGTATCACCTAATGCCTTGGAGTTGGAGTGCAGGTCCATAAATGGCGCCGAAATCGCCTCACTCGTGCAATGGTGTTGATACCATAACACCTCCCCACCAAAAAGAATTTGGTTTAGTGTCTAAAAGGAAAATATACCAAATTAGCAATTTAGATGTGAGACAAGGCATCTGCTACCACGTTGTCTACCCCTTTAATATGCTCGATAGAAAGGGAGTACTGCTGGACATGTAGGCTCCATCTGGTTAGTCAGAGATTTTTCTGCCAGAACTGCCAAGAAATTTAAGGGGATAATGGTCAGACCTGACCAAAATTGGGTGACCGTTGCTTGTTAAGTAAACATCAAAGTGTTGAACTTGGCTGACTAGGGCCAATGTTTCCTTCTCTATCACAGAATAATTCCATTGCCAATCACTGAACTTTTTAGAATAATATGCTACAGGGTGTTCTGTCCATTTTACATAATTCTGTGATAACACTGCCCCAAGGCCGTAGTCTGAAGTATCTACAGTTAGAATGAATCTTATCAAAATTCGGGGGCATGAGAATGAGAGATGAAATCAATACGGTTTTTAAACTCTCAAAAGCCAACTGACAGTTCATGTCCCACATGAACTTTATTCCCTTCTTCAGGAGATTTGTCGAAGGTACAGCAATCGTCGATAAGTTGGGAACTAACTGTAGAAACCGGTCATACCCTGGAAACACATGGGCCTCCTTCCGTGTTGAAGGGGTCGGGGACAGAACAACGGCTTCAATGTTGCTGTTCTTCGGGGCGATCCATCCTCCTCCCTCCACATGTTCTAAAAAGATAACAGAGGACTTAAAAAATTCAGACTTATTCAGATTGACTACCAACCAAGCTTTTTGAATAGCCAAAAAGAATTTTTCCAGATGTCGCAGGTGGTCTTTGGCCTCCACTTTCCGAGGTGCGCACCATTCGTAAAACAGCCGCTCTTTATTACACGTGAACTCCGTAAATGTTATGGCCACAATGGGACGCAACCGGGTTCTTTTCAGGTGGTATGAAAGTTCTGGTATCCGGCCCCAAGTTAGTAGTGGCTTTCAAGGGGTGAGCTCAGTAATGCAAGTAAAACAAAAGGGGGAGGTACATTAAGTACACCAGTTCGTCACTTTAACCATATATAATTATTCTTCCCATCACCATATATATATATATATAAGTCTTAAAAGGAAGTATTACTACACTATGTACATCATTGTCTCTCTCAGAAGACACTGAACACTCGGCGAAGCTCAGTCCGTGCAGTCCTGTACCGTGTTTCTCCATCCATGGTACTACTCTCAGCAAGTATCAGGAAACAATGAGTCTACCCTGGCCACGGGCCAGCCAAGCCACAATTTCACTAAGTGCCTCTTCGTGAAAGCCCACAACCACAGTCCAGCCTGGTGCTGGCAGGTACCAATCAACCTCACGCTGTTAGGCCACTTCACGAGCGAATACTAGGGTT